GGTGGGAGTTAATAGGTAACTGGTGGAATAGTCTAAATGCACATAAATTGGTCAGGACACCATTGTTATACAACAACATACCCAGTATATTCCCACATGTGGGCAGGACATAAAATAAAAATAAAAAGATTTTTTGGGCTCGTTGCAGCTTCAACTTTTGTCCATAAATCTGAAGTAAGAACCAGTTTTCTGTCTTACTTAAGTGATCAAAACCATATCACTTTAATGAAAAGCAAATTTCAGTTATAAGCTTTAATCATTTTCTAACCTTATGATAATATTTTCCATCTCCAACTAATTGGTTAAAGATACTTTTGTTAGCTACTTCATTATCTTTCATTAATCAACTTTCAGCTCTTCGGAGGGTGATTGCTAAATATACTGCAGCGCCTCTTGCCTCAGTTCCTCCCAATAATGAAAAGAAAGCATATGGCCTTATTAAGTTGCAGAAGACTAAATCTCTGTTCAACATAATTGATACTAAATACTTTGATGGTGTCACTGAATCTGAAGACCCACTTGCAATGGAGTCTTTGGGTCAGGTATAACATACTCTTATCATGGATGCATGTTTCATAGTTCTGAGTTATTAAAGTGCCTGATTGATATGATCCACCTATTTTAATGTTTTTTCTTGTTCAGATGTTTGGCTTCATGTTTTATGTTTCTGATTACAAAGCAAAAGCTAATGGAAATTTGTTGTTCATACCAAAGGTAAGTGGTTTTGTCATATAACTGGAAAGTTTCCGTTATGTCTGTCTGTTTCCTTATTTCATTTAATTAGTACTGGTAAAAGGTTTTCAGTTAAACAACTGTAGTTCTTTTCTACTTCCACTTTGGAAATTCACTGATGTGGTTAGAGCTATCCCTTTGTGTGTCATTGGTGCAGGTATTAACTGAATTTCATCTCCTTACTAAGAAGCTATATCTCTGTGCAATTGAATAATATCTTCAATATAATTTGGCCATCGTGTAATATGCCTGCTAGCTCAGCCTAGCCGATTGCTGGGGCTTACCGTGTGTTAACCTCTTTGGGCTTTGGTCTGAGCTTGTCAATTTTTTCTTTCGAAAGGAAATGACATTTGATTTACGGCTATGTTTTTTTTTGCGCTTATGTCACTGTTATTGTACAAAGGAGTGTCTTAATATAATTTTGCAGGTGCATGACAGGGGGCAAGTATTCATTTCATGCCCTTCAGACAACAATGAAGAAATTCCAAAATATGTAGGCACTATAGCTAGATGGTCTAATACTCCAATCAGGCTTCCTCATACTCCATGTTCTTCTGGTAGCAAAATTTATATACTGGTACGTAGTACTCGCTGTTCGTCATGTCTAGCAATGCTTTTGAGTTATGCTGTGATCCTTTCTGGAGATGCACCTTACTATGAATTCCGAAGATGGAAGTTTTCATTGATTTTGATAAAATTTTAAGCAACTTCTTTCTGAAAATTAAGGGCATGGATCACAATTACTGCTTCTACTTCTCTTTTTTACAGGGTTGTAATGAAAATAGGGTGTTCCTATTTAGAAATGGTATACATTAAAGAAGAAGTTACAAAGAGCACTTCATATATGTAGTTTTTGTTCAATCACTAAATGCATATTCTTGTGTGCTCCTAATATAAAACAGAACAACAACACGGTCCACAGGACTCGTAAGAATGCCTTTTACGTACATATTCGGTATTTCCTTTTTATTGCCAACTTGTGCTCTTCTGCTTTGATATACCCATATTATGAAGATGTATGAGGAATAAAAATAGGGTGAAATACTTTATTACTTCCCGACATTCCTCATCCTAGCACCTTTCTCGTTAAACGTTTTCTTGAATCAATTTACCCCTAAACTCTTAAAAACCAGCTTTTGCACAGCTCTCCTTAAGTTTTCAGTGAAGTGGTTGACAGAAGAAAGTCCTTTTCATTTCTATCTCTTCTCCTTTTTGGAGTCCTCAGCGTGTTCCCTAATGAATTCTACTAATATTATCAGAACAACAAAAAGGAAAAGGATCTATTTTCAAAAAATTCTATTGTCTTTGTTGAAACTTGTAAGATAAATTAATATGAGGGATCCTACTTCCAGTATTTTTTTTTGTAGTATTTTCTTTCATTCCCAAATTTCCCTATTTATTGCTTTCCTGCTTTCTATGCATTTGTTCCTTATGTTTAGTGGTTATGAAGCAAAAAGAAAGGAAGAAACTAATTGTTTGTGGAAGGAGATTCCAGCCGGGGG